CAGTGTAGATGAAATAACCTTTTATTGGAAGAAGATGCCATCTAAAACTTTCAAAGCTATAGGGGAGAAGTCAATGCCTGGCTTTGAAATTTCAAAAACAGGTGGACTCTCTTTTTGGAGGTTAATGCAGTAGATGACTTTAAGTCGAAGCCAATGCTCATTTACCACTCCAAATATCCTAGGGCCCTCAAGAATTATGCTAAATCTACTCTACCTGTGTTCTATAAATGAAATAACAAAGCCTGGATGACAGCACATCTGTTTACAGCATGGTTTACTGAATATTTTGAGTCCATTGTTGAGACATTGCTTACATAAAAAGATTGGTGTCAACATATTACCACTCATTGACATGCACTTGATCATCCAAGGGCTTTGAGAGAGATGCACTAGGAGATTCATGCTTTCATTCATGCTAATGTAACCATCCTACAGTCCATGGATCAAAGAGTAATTTTTTTTTTTTTTCACCAAAGGGAGTACCTGCAACCATCCAGGAGTAATTTTGACTTTCAAGTTTCATTATTTAAGAAATACATTTTGGAAGGCAATAGCTGCCATAGAGAGTGATTTCTCTGATGGACCAGGCAAAATAATTTGAAAACCTTCTGGAAAGGATCCACCATTCTAGATGCCATCAAGAACATGATGTGTGGCTTGAGATCAAAATAACACATTAACAGGAGTTTCAAAGTCAATTTCAATCATCATGAATGACTTTTCAAGCCTTCAATGGAGGAAGTTACTGTAGATGTAGTGGAAATAGCAAGAGAACTAGAACTGAAAGTGAAGTCTGAAGATGTGACTGAATTGCTGCAATCTCATAATAAACTTTAATGGATGAGGAATTACTATTTAAGGATGAGCAACGAAAGTGATTTCTTGAGACAGAATCTCCTCATCCTCAAGATGCTCTAAACAGTGTTTAAATGACAGTAGATTTAGAATAGTCTGTAAGTTTAGTTAACAAAGCATTTTAAGAGAAGCTCTACTTGTGGGTAAAATGCTATCAAACAGCACCATATGCTACAAAGAAATCCCTTGTAAAAGGAAGAGTCAATTGATACGGTATTGTTGTCTTAGTTTTATTTTATTTCATATTTTATTTTATTTTCTTAGTGATAGGGTCATGCTCTTTTGCCTAGGCTGGAATGCAGAGCCCAATCATGGCTCACTGCAGCCTCAACCTCCCGGGCTCAAGTAATACTTCCACCGTGGTGTTTTATTTTAAGAAATTGCCATAGCCATTCCAACCATTAGCGACTAGCACCTGGTCAGTCAGCAGTCATCAACGTTGAAGCAAGACCTTTTGCCAGCAAAAAGATTACAACTCACTGAAGGGCTCAAATGATAGTAAGCATTTTTTAGCAATAAAATATTTTAAATTAATGTGTGCATTTTTTAGACATAATTTTGCACACTTAATAGACTGCAATACATTACAAATGTAACTTTTTTATGTACTGGGAAACCAAAATATTTGTATAACTTGCTGTATTGCAATGATTTCGAACTGAACCCACAATATCTCTGAGGTATGTCTGCAGGTCTAGTTTATGCTTCAAAGCTTCTGTGTATTATTCTATCAAATGAACAAACTAGATTTAATTGTTTTTGTAGTGTTAGGATTTCTGTTTGTTTTAATTTTTAGGTTTTGGAAAGCATGTCTTCATTAAACACCCTAATATGTCTCCATATGCATGCATGCATGCATTTGCTCCTTCTGTCTTAAATACTTAAAATTAGAATTTCTGATGCAATTAAAAAAAAAAGAAAAAAAATAGAATTTCTGTCTCTCAGTGTGTGCACATTTTTACTATTAACACTTACTGCCAAATGTCTTCTCCATCAGTGTTCCACTGGTTTACTTTCCTGTCAGCTATGAAAGAAACCACTATTTCCCCAGAATTTGTCAGGTCGTTATTGGCATATAATATTATTTTCAACTGTTACACTATTATGGGTGATAAAGTAATATATTATTGTTTTTTACAAATTTAAATTTCTATAATTGCTACTGATAATATATATTCATAAATGAGGAATCATTTGAAATCCATCTACAAACTGCTTACTTTGCTGATGTATTCTTTGCTGATATATTCTCTAGATCCACTTTTATCTTCATGTTTTAGCAATTATATGTACAGATAAGCGTCATTGTCTAAAGTATTATTTTTAAAATTATTTTTGTCTTCTCAAAATATTTAAATTTGTTTCAAATTTATGAGTCTTTTGACACAAGCACATTTAGTAAAACTCATTTTATAACAAACGAGAATGACGAAAAATTCAGGATGGTGCTAAAATCAAGTAGGAGCACACAGGTATGAAATGTTCTTGTGATTACATTGTCGATAAGTTCAGGAATTGTTTTTTAATCTATTTATTTTTATATGTACTAAATTTTTATAGTATTTTTTAAAACTTATTGTTTTCAAACTCTTGATTAAGATTTTAGTTTTCAATTTTTTCAAGCACCTTCTAATCCTCACTGCTTTCTTTCTGTTATTTGATGCCAAATTAAGGTCATATCTCTGTCTTGTTTTGCTGTTTCTCTCTGTCTTTACCAAAACATACAATCTTCTCTCTACATTTTCTTTTGCACGCATCTGCTCTCAATAATGTGTTTCATTTGGCTGTAATATTCCCAAAACAAATATATTTTTGTCTCACTTTCTATGGTTTACTTTAGCAGTTCATCATTGAAAGAGGAAGCAGAGAAGCAAAGATTAGTGAACTGTAGCAGGAAAATTTTGAACAGAAATCAAGGAAGTTACTTTTTGCCTTATGAGTGTTTAACAAAGGTCAAAGATTAAGTCTTTCATAGCCTTAGAAGTTTGGTATTTCCGTGTATATAAAATGAGTCCTGTCTCTTCCATTTCTGTTTCAACCACTTTTTAACTGCCTGGGAACTCTGTGTGTGACTTCTTCTCTGTGCTAGATTGCTTAAATCAGTTTCTTTAAGGCAAAATATATGTTCTCAGATTGTAATCTATTGAAGGACAAAGGACACATCCTGTAGTTTTCTTTGTTCAGTGCCGGGGACAGCATTAGGATGATGTGGATTTTATTTGATTCCTACTTCTTCAGAGTAAATAGTGGTTATTAAATCACCAGAAATTTATCTTCTACTATGATGTACTCTAATACTAAGGCCTTTATTTTACTGGAAAATATTTGGAACAAGCAATGCTTTAAATCTCACTGCTGCCTTTATGAATTGAATACTAACATAGCATGTAAGGATGTTAGAAAAACACTTTATGAACATCACATAACATTATCCAGTATTTATAGCCATATTGTGCTGGGATTCCCAGGAAGTTATTAGCTATCAAACTGTTCTAAAACAATACTTATACTATTTTAAAATCTAAAACACAATATAAGAGAAATTCAAACACTCCACTTTTTTTGAGGGGTCTTATGAAAAAGTGTTTTTCTATGTATTCAGATCTGATCCCTCTGGAAAAAATTGAAAGCACACATTTCTTGTGTGTTCTAATTTATGACTTACTCATATATGAAAAATAATTTTTTATATTAATAGAAGTAATTTCTATTAACAAAAATTCTAATCTTGGATGAAAGGCAGTCTATGCTTAATTAATTTCCCTAATGGAACCAAAGATGAGAAGGATCCTAGGATGTACTAAGGAGGTTAATCATTTCTTTTCTATCCCATATTTTTCTGTTTTATTTAAAAGAAATTTCTTCAAAATCCATCCCAGCCCTACCCCATGGTTCACAAAAATGACTATGTTTTATATGAAATAAGTGATCTACTTTCATATACTTCATTAGTACTAGAGGCAAGACCTAGAGCAGTGGTTCTCAAAGTTTAACATGCATTAGGATCACCTGAAAGGTTTAAGACACAGATTTCTGACAGCCGTATTGGAGGTTCTAATTCAGTAGGTCTGGGCTGGGCCTGTGAATTTGCATCTTAAACGCATTAGCAAGTGTTGCTACTTTACAGGTACAAAAATTGCACTTTGGGAATCACTGACCTAGAAAAGTTTTGAGCTTGGGCTCTTAGTAAAGGTTAATAAGATTCCCTTTACTAAGAATTTGGAATTAGAAAATGTTATCAGTTATCTTTGTGTAGTATCTCTAAATTTGGGGCTAAGGTGGCCACATTGGGTCATGGACAATTAGAGAAAGCAATTTTGCAGAGTAAGGAATAAATCAGATATTCATCAAACAAAGTAAAGAGCAAAGGAAATCCAGAAAAGAGAAATGGAGAAAGCAACTCTTCAGGTAATTTGCTAATTTCTATTTCCAATCATTTGATATGTCTGCTTAAAATTCTTCTATTTGGGTTCTGAAAGATACCCTTCGGTAACTTTCTAATAAATGCCAATGTTTTCATCGTGAAGTATTTTGCAAGGCACAGAATCTCATTTTAAAAATTGCTGAATAAGAAAAGAATAAAAAAATATTTTTGGACTAATCTTATATATGAAATGGTAGATTTATACATATATTTCAACATATGTATATTATGTTGAAATTTATAAAACATAAATTCTGCTAGTGTTTATGATGACTATGGCAAAGGCCAAGGATCTTCACTGATGAACCTATCCAAAATAGCATATGCATTATGTTGCTGATTCATTCGTTTATATTGTATTAGAGTGAGATCAAGGACCTTTGTTTGATTTATACTGTATTCTCCACACTTTAAATAATAATTGTTGGGAAAAACAACAAAGGAGAGAGGACTTGCAGAGTGCCTACATAAATTGGTTGTGAGTAACATATAAACAGGGAACAACAAACTGCAAAAGTCTGCAGGAGGCCTCTGAGGAGGAAGTCCTCTTCATGCCTCAGGATCCGTGCAAAGTGACCTCCGCTCCATTATCATAAACATTGTGCTCAAGGACGTAAAACCCCTTTGTAGCACTATGTGGTAGCAGACTTGTAGGCTCCTTTTAAGGCCCGCATTCCACCAGGTGCACATAGATAATAGGTTAAAGATAACCACATGTTCGGTTGAGGTCTATCTATCCCTATGGAGCTTTTCCTGTAGCCTGCAGGTCGTTGGAAATGCCTCATAGAGTCTACCTTACTCACAGGACTATTGTTAGATCTGTGGAAAGGAATGGAAAGACAGCTGCTGAAAGTTTAAAAATGACAGTTACTACATGTCTGAAAGACCTGATAATTTACTTTTTTACCTTAGGTATTGGCATATTTCCGTACCTGTACTATTCTTGAATGTGACTGCTTAGGAATGAATATGATTTGAACTCATTCATGTTGAAAGGGTGTTAAATTGAGAACCAGGCAGATCCACGACCTACAATAAAAAGTTCAATTTCTAGGACCCTAAAATAAATTGGTTGAAGAAAGTAGATCCCAAAGATTCTTGGTGAATTTTGAAGTCTTCATCAGTATATCCGTATTAAAAGGAGATGACAGAAGCCAAAATAAATTAATGGGCTGACAGGACAACTGGATTAAAGTAATCATCAGCTTCGTTAAAAAGGGCTAACTTGCAGCTCTTTAGAGGATCTGTAGTGACTTTGATGGACAGTGGAAGAAATCACAACATGGAATTCCGTGATTAAAAATTTATTGACTTTAAATATACACAATTTTAAAAAAAAGATAACCACATGTTCTTGTTTTGTGAAACTCCCAAACTGCCACTGTTATCAGTCCTTAGAACGATACACCAGTTCCAGCTCACCGATTCACTTCCGACTCACTGATTCATTCCATCATCACTCCACTCCTACTATATAGATCAAAGTGATCGTAATCAATAAATAGTGTGGATGATCAGAGCTCGGGGTCTTCACTGTTTCCTCCAGAGTAATAAAGTGCTGGTCCCCTGGGTCCCACTTTCTCTCTTAATCTGTCTTTTTCTCGTTCCTTTGTTGCCACCAAACTGGGGTACCCACAGGTGATGTAGGGCTGGTTCCCTACGTTTTGGTGCCCAACATGGGAAGATGGATCCCTACATTCGGGCACATCAATGTGTGGGCCTCATGGACTCCCTATAATAATGAATAATGAAAAAATACATAAATAAATAAAGGATAACAAATTTTTAGCTTAAGCGAAATTTCTTTTTCGAGAAATATTCTTTCTTTCTTTTTTTATGGGGTTTCACCATATTGGTAAGGCTGGTCTCAAACACCTGGTCTCATGATCCACCTGCCTCGGTCTCCCAAAGTGCTGGGATTATAGGCGTGAGCCACCACACCCAGCTGAGAAATATTTCTTGAAATTGTTGGCCAAGCCTATTAGTTGCTTTTTATGTTATGCAAGTACTGAAAAATTAATAACATTTTTATTTTCTCATGGCTTTAAATGAAATCACCAGATGTTATGCAGTCAGTCACAATAGGTTACAATGACAAGGCCAGAGAGTTGCACAGATATTGATCACAGGGATTATCTACATTATCAATTACATAGAGAGAAGTCAATAAGGTAAGAAAAGGTAAAATATAGAAAACAATGAAAATAGTAGCTTTGTCGGCATATCAACAAGTTCCAAAATCTCAAAAACAAATATAGCTTTTATTCTTCTTTTCTCAGGCCTGTAGTTTGGCTGAGACAACTGAGCTTTGGGCTGCATGTTGGCATGTGTGTTGGGGCAGTTCTGATCCATGCATAGATGAGAGAAGAAGCAGCCAATTGAAGCATGACTTTTTTCTGGTAGCAGTCAGGTTATGCCCAAGGGATTGACAGAAATATGCGATGCCCTCTAAGGCATAAGCTTGCTACTTTATTGCTGTTACTTACCTCATATCTCATGGATCGAAGGAAAATGCATGGCTATGTTCCACATCTATGGAGTAGGGAAATGTACTCCCTATACGGAAATCAGAGGCAATGAATTTTTATTGAACAATGTTCTAATTTACCTCAAGCATCAAAAAGGAAAAAATAATTTTGCTAAGACTACTCATAAACTCAAGGCAAACGCCTTCATCTCTTATTCCATAGACTAAAGTAGAACTGGAACTAGATGTTCAAAATAGTGCTGTTTCTGGTGATATGTCTTCCATCCCCATTTATGTGGAAGGACTGAGTCAGAGTTAGAGAAACAGAGTTAGAGAAACAGATCAATTCTAGTAATTTAGAGGAAATGCCCTAGGGAGGACCGGCTTTAAACATGTAGAAAGGACAAGAATATCAAAAGAGAGAAAGGGTGATGTCTAAAAAAAGGCAAAAGATATGATACTCAAAGGTCAAAAGCTGTGAAAGTCCTTGACCTGGAGTACATGAGCTTTGCCTGATGCAATTCTGTTAGAAACTCTGTTGTAGTTGCTGTTTGATCCACCAAAGAGGTTGCAGCTTTACCAGCCCAGGGCTGATACAGAAAAGGGAGCTTTTCCCAGATTGCTGAAGTCCTCTCTTTTTGCATTTCTAGCAGTTTTCAACAACTACCAAAGTGAATGAACCAGAAATAGAAGGTTTCTCTCTTTCTCCTGCTTTCTGATTTTATTTTCCCTCTCCTAATGATAAGTACTCATGAATAAGCCAGCTGTCAGCGGAGGTTTGAGAAATATAATATGCTTACCTCAGTCTCCTAACACATAGCAGAGTCAGGCAGAATAGAGTTTAGGGGTCAAGAACAAATAGAAAAATGATCTCCACAAATTGTCCTTACCTTTTGGCTGGAGGTATATGGACAATCTTTTTGCAAGAAGACTTAAGGAGAGGAGAGAGAAATGACAAAAATTGATAATTGATAGAACAGCATTTATTGGCTTACCAGTCAGTTGGATTAGGTTTTATATCTGATAAAAACAAGTAGGCTCAAGCTAGAAGCTTAAATAATTCAGTTCATTAACTGCACTATGAGATCCCAGGAATAGAGCTTTGGTGCTTCAGGGTCAACATGATACTGTGCATGAATTATAACACTTGCAGAAACTTCAAGGACTGAAAATGAGTCTCAGGACAAACTTGGTTCAGTTCCTAGAAAAGAATGCCAGAGTAGAAAAATTATACTAGAATCACCATGACATATGCAGGATACCACCAGCCTTTATATTCTGTACAACAACAATTTTGGAAAATGGGGATTTTAGAAGAGATGAATTTCTTGTTTCAACTGATGAAACTTTAAATCCAGTAAAAATTAGTGTTTAATGTGACATAGTGTTGTTACAGCCTGATGAAATATGAGAAAGTTTACAAAACTATAGAACTTTGGAAATAAAATAAAACTTGTCCATCTAATCAAAATTATATGTATGATGACCCACCAAAGGACACATATTTTATAGTGGATTATACACACACATCACATACAGGGAGAGATACAACCCAACATATCTTTAAAAAAATGTTCCATGAAACAGCACCTACCCTCATATGATACGTTTTAGTATTTCCTATTTTTTCTATTCCATACCATTTTATTTATTAGAAGAATGCTGGTAGTGACTCATTTATTTAATTTCATGATGACTTTTCATGACTTTAAAGGAGGTATAACAGCCCTCTTTCATTTTAAAAAACACAGATCACAGCTAATTTTCATCTTATAATTGAAAAAATTGAGACTTGGTTTGATAAATCTTTATATATTTCTTAATGTTCCTTATGCATTAGGTTGACTTATGTTGTTTTCTGTCATAAAATCCTTAAAAAGTAAGATTATTCCCTATTAAAGTGCATTTAACATTATTATAATTTTCATCTAGGTTTTTAGTGAATATTTTACAATGATTACAAGTATGTATTTGAACTACATGTTTCATGAGCTAATCTGATTTTCCCTTTAAGAACAAAGAAAAGAAAAATTAACAAGTGGGATTCAATTAAAGAGCTTAAGCATAGCAAAAGGAACTATCAACAGAGTAAACAGACAACCTACAGATAGGGAGAAAATGTTCACAAACTATGCATTTGATGCAGGTCTAATATCAGGAATCTATAAGGAACTTAAACAGTTCAAATAAAAATAAAAATAAAAATGGGTACAAGACATGAAGAGGCGCTTCTAAAAAGCAGACATACAGGCAGCCAACAAATATATGAAAAAAATGTCCATTATTACTAATCATTAGAGAAATGTAAATCAAAACCACAATGAGACACCATCTCAAACCAGTCAGAATGGCTATTATAAAAAGTTGAAAAACAATAGTGAGGTAGCAGAGAAAAGGGAATACTTGTATACTTCTGGTGGGAATGTAAATTAGTTCAGTCACTGGGTAAAGCAGTTTGAAGATTTCTCGAAGAACTTAAAATAGAAGTACCATTTGACCTAGCAATCCCTCTACTGGGTATGTATCCAAAAGAAAATAAATTATTCTACCAAAAAGACACATGGAATTGTATATTCATCACATTCAACAGAAAGACTATATGGGTTCAACTAAGATGCCCATCAGTGGTGGACTGGATAAAGAAAATGTGGTTCATACACACCATGGAATACTATGCAACCATAAAAAGAATGAAACCATGTCCTTTGCAGCTACATGGATGCAGCTGGAGGCCATCATCCCAAGCAAATGAACATAGAAACAGAAAACCAAATATTGCATGTTTTCACTTATAAGAGGAAGCTAAATGTTGAATAAACATGGACACAAAGATGGGAAAAACAGACACTGTAGAATGCTTGAGTGGAGCATGGGGATGAAAATCTACCTATCAGGTACTATGCTCACTGCCTAGGTGATGGGATCGTTTGTTCACCAAACCTCAGTGACACATAAGTTATCTATGGAACAAATCTGCACATGTACTCCCTGAACCTAAAATAAAAGCAGAAAAACCCCAGAGCTATGTCCAGTATTCCTACTTATCTTCTACAGTCATAACACAATTCTCAGTGAAGAATTCTAGGACTCCATGAAGACATTTAATTGAGTGACAGAAAAACTATTATGAAGACAAAATTTCTAAATTCACATGCCCCTGTGTTAGTGGACAGGTTTGTGTGTCACCCTTCAAAACATAAAACGTAAATCATAGCAGTTTCTTAATAATGTGGAAAAGCTAACATTTGTTTTTTTGGTCAATATAAACTGTTTGCACAGTGACTCAAAATGTTCTGGGTCTAAAGTCCATTACTATTAACAAAGAGTTTTTAGATTTATAAGCAAAGATTGACAAGCCTTTAGAATGTACAACTAACT